GCATTTTTGGTTTAACCTACAATTGCAAACATCATTTTAAAGATAGGAATCACAGTAATGTTTCTATTTTCCATAATAATGCAATTGTGCTACTTTAGGAATTTTCTTCGGTAAGCATTGTTGGATGACCAGTTAAAGATGTAGAGCTGAGCCACCATAATGTTTCTTTCTTGAGTCAAATTTGATTCTGTGATTATCCATAATCTATGCTCACCTCCCTCTACAGAATGAATTATACTTAATGGAAGGGATAATTCTAAAGGAGACAATACAACATAAAGCTTTATCCTGCTATGAGCAGCCTTTTTTTCCAATTTAGTCAATGAGGCTTAGCATCAAATGGAAGCGGGAAAAGACTATAACATTTCCCAGCAGTAAGAACAGCATACAAACATACCCCTACTTAAGATATTACTTACATAACCTAGAAGACCATACAAATTCTCACTTCTATACAATCCACAGGACAGTCTAATAATGTAATGGGATAAATACTGAAATTCAAGTATTCCTCGCCCACTCTACAGGGCAGCTGGTGAAAACATCTTAAATGTAATGATTATATCAGTAGAGCTATTTGGTCTTGCCGACTGAGATGTATGTTCATGGGACAACCAATGGTGATTTAAAATTTCTTGAATATTTGACAAGACATAACAAAAAGTTATTCATAAACAGGAACCTGTTGTAGCAACCTATAACATACAGTTGTGCCTCGCTTTACAATTGCCCCGCATAACGACGAATCCACTTAATGATGCCTTTTTTGCGATCGCAGAACGATGCTTCCTATGGGCAAAATCCGCTGTGCGATGATCAGTTCCCTGCTTCGGGAACCGATTGTCTGCATCACGACGATCAGCGAACAGCTGATCTTCGGGTTCCAAAATGGCCACCGACTGAAGAAAATGTCTCCCCACTGTTTTCTAGGGTGGATTCCTCGCTAGACAGGCACTGAAAATGGCCACCGTATGGAGGATCTTCGCTGGACTGTGAGTTTTTAGCCCACTGGAACGCATTAACTGGGTTTTAGTGCATTTCAATGGGTTTTTTTAATTTTCGCTCTATGATGTTTTCGCTCTACAGAGATTTCGCTGGAACGAATCAACATCGTTAACCGAGGCACCACTGTATTAGTACATACATACATAAACCTTTATTGGCATTTGATTACAGTAAGAAAAATAGACAATGTAACCAGGGAAGTAAAGAGGGGGAAGGTTAGTATACCTGTCAGAGACCTTTGGACACACTGATCCTTGCACTTAGCCCAGGTTTCTGGTTGCAATGCCATATCAAGGTAGCATCTGTGTTCAATTAACCTGGACAGAATAGCTCTTTAATGCTGCCAAACCTTGCACAGCCCCCCACTTTATGCTCACATATGACTTACAGAAGTCCTTGTACTGTGTCAAGGGTATGCCATTTCACAGGTAAAGATATTGGCCATTGTAGAAAGGTTAGGTTCAAGAATGAATGCTGAAGTACACTTTCCAAAATATACCTGCTATGTACCTCTTACTACTATAAACAACTACAAAATATATAGCCTCCCTATTCTCCCTTAATAACTGAATACACAGAAAACGGGAATAAAAAACTTTGTCAAACTTCAAGAATGGCATAAATTTAGAGAAGAAAATTGGAAGAACACCACATCAATTTTCGCACTTCCTTTAATTTTTTTACTAAATCTGGTTTAACTAAATCTTTGTTCTAGCCTGTGTTGGAACACAAAATCATTTTTGTAGTCATATTAGCAATTCATAGCAAAAATTAAAAATCAGGAAGCAGTATTTTGGTTTTCAGCTATTGAATCACTGCATTTTGTAGTGGTGGCATTGTACTAGATTGTCTTTTAGTCCTCGTTAAGACTCACAGAATAAAGTCAAAGAAGTGACTTTTTTTACTACAACTTTCAAAATCTCCTACCCAGCTTGGCCACCGGCTATGTTGCCTGGGGGTTCTGGAAACTCTAATTGAAAAAAAAGTAACTTTTCCAAGCATTGCCAACTCTGTTGAATATACTTTTGCCATTGTTACAAAATGGCTACAATATTTTTCTAATTGCATATTGTTTTAATAAATGCTTCTGAATTTCTTCTGTAGGTATTCTAAATGCTTGCAAAGATCTAACAATTAGTGTGGAAAACGAGCACACAAACGTGCACATACCCATATGTATGTATGCAATCCATTGTAGAATACAGTATAATGGCAACCATTTCAATGTTTCGTCAAAATGTCAGATACACAAGATGGAAGAACTGCAGCTTCCATTCAGGTAAGTTTTAATTGTCTTACAAAATTCTCTGTACTTCCACTGAACATCTCGTTGAATTAAGGGCTGCTGTATCTCATACTGTGGATTTTCATTTCTTGTCAGTTAATGTGTACAAAATGTATTCCTTTTTAAAACAATTTCTTATGCTTTTATATTTTTTAGCAAACAGCTCACATTTAGCCTTATATATTATGTATGACAATAATAACAACACAAATCGCCCCTTTTCCAATAGTCAGGACAGAGTGGTGACCCATTATGTGGCCCAACCTCTGCTGACTGCTATGTAGCTAAAGCTACACAATGCATGCAAGCAGATGAGACCAGTCCACTCAGGAGAACCCAGAGGCTTGTAATAATCCTCCAAAAAGAAAATCAACCAGAATAATAATAAGAAAGATGAAGAGAAGAAACAGAATAGGCAAGAGGAGGAAATGGAGAAAGAGTACAAGCAAAGAAGCAGAGAGAGGACATAGATGCAAAGAAGTTTCCTAAAGCAGGGAGAACTTTCTATCTGACCAATTTTCCTGGCTGAGAAGGAAAAGCTTTGGAAAAACAGGTAAGATTGGCTGACAGCTTACCAGACACACACTTTCAGTAAGCTTTTTGAAGAGCTCCCATCAGAAAAGAAGACTATTCCTTAGCTGCCTATCACTTGAGAAAGAAGAGCTTTGAATACTGCCACATCAAATGTTTTGTTACGGGATCCCACTTGTCTGATATAATATCCCTAATCACAAATAAATGCTCAATTCAGTAAGAAGGACTCATTTCATTTAACAGAGTCACCACTGTTCACATTCAGAAGTCAATCCACAAGCAATTTTAACCATACAGTGTTGCTCAAAGCCACCTTAACACATTGCCAGTTAAACTGAAAAATGTCTATTTGTATATTTTAATCCTTTGTTAAAAGGCAACAGTATACAAGCAATAAGAATCAGATTCGGATCATTAGAGGTTCACAAACTAAATATTCTGGAGGCTATCCAAACTGAAATCACACCTAAGTGTTGCTGTCCATGAATTATATTCTTACTACTTCCCCAAGAGTATTAGCAGTCATAACCATAACATTTCTCACCAATTACATTAATGTACAAAAAGCCAAATAGGGACAGCAGCCAATCATTGTGCCAGATCACTGCCTTTTGATGAATGTTTTATAATTAGGCTAGAATTCAAACATGAAAAATGCAACAGTAATCTTTAAAAAAATTGTATTTAAAATAAAAAACACACTTGGTAAAACATACAGTAATCTAACTAAATTAAAGAATGAAAACTACCCTCTTCTTCACTTCTAAATAACAATGAGGCAACAGTACTTATCTTTATAATAGTGCATTATATACTATACCAAAATAAGTTGCTTACTAGCATTCCACAGAGCTGCCCATCTTCAAGACAATAAACTCTTATACTCGTAAGCCCAACAACCTAACCCCATACTGATTGGTCCAATTTGCTCCATAATCACCAGCAACTTTCTCTGTATGCTAATATATTCTTCTATTTATGCAACACATGTGGGCCATGTTTTAGAAGATGAAACAGTATACCTCAGCAAAACAGTACATGTACATTTGCAAGCTAATTAGCCACTTGTTGACTATTCCATGCCAATGCAACAAATATACTTGCCTCGCAGATCATTATTTTCCATCTTTGTCATATTAAACATCAAATAATAAAAGAAAATTCTCGTTAGCCACATGTAGAGACAAAATGTTGTTTTCTCTTCATTATCAATAGAACTTTGTGACTACAACACAGTACAGACTTCAACGACAAGCCTGATCAGAGATTTGTCAGCACAGAGTCTGGATAGCCTTCATCTATTACACCCATTCAAAATACAATGACTGCATCCTTGCTAATATATGCTGAGAATGTAATTAACCTTCTGAAATATGACAGAGAAAATCTAACAATACTAGAACAGACCCATACAATCTACATGTCCTCTGACAGAAGAAAAAATATATATAGAATATGTGCACATGTATACAGCTACATGCATATGCACACACATGGAGAAGATATGCTAGAACTACACTGATAACAAATATCTTTATAACAAAACCAGGACTCTTTTTTTGCACCAATCATTACTATAAATCTGCACCTGATGAAACTGTTTCTAACAGAAGCCACATGGCAGCTGAACAGATGCCACAGAAAATGTTTCTGATCAACAATTATCCTGAAATATGTGCTAAGCAAAAAAAGGGGAGGGTTACACTAGTAACAGAAAATGGCCAACATATTATTGTGTCATTATGCTCACATTATATGCCTGATATATGAAATTGTATTTTCTCAGCCACTGCAGAAGCACAGTGTCCAAAGATTCCTTCCGCAAGCAGTTTTATCACTTCTGGAAGATTCCAAAGCAGCTGCATTTTCTGTGTGGATGTGCACAAGTGCAATCTCTAACATATCCCTAAGGAAGTTTTATAACAGGGATTGAAGGCTTCAAATTCTTCTATTGCATCACTGCTTGGTAAAATGGTAAAATCCAGGACAATTGTGAGCATAGATATTTATACTACACACATATGCTCTTGACCAATGGAAACAAATAACCTCTTACCTCTGCCCTGTCAGAATAAAATACCCACTTCTTGTGACTTAGGTGCTATGAAAGTAAAGAGAACACAAATCAAAATCTGAAAGAGAGAAAGGCAAAAGTACACAAAAGCTCTTCACAAACCTGCTGCTGCGGATACTGCAAGCCTCCCATGGAACCTGGAGTCCGGGCCTGCATCCCCATTGGAAAGCGTTGTGGTCCCGGTGGAGGTCCATATGACTGCCCTGGATATGGACTGCTTGGCTGTGTCTGGGCATGAGGGCTGTTGCCCACTGCAAACAACTGAGGTCTTTTCATGACCATTGGATCCATTGGGTTGCCCTATTAATCAGAAAAAGAATTAAAATGAATTTCTAAATATACTGCATAAAGAATTTAAAAATCCACCTTGGATGATACATTTTCAAAGTGGCTTCATTCCAAAATGAAACTGGACTTTACAAACATATCTTAAGATACAAAAAAATGCAGCATGATTTTAGGCATGTTATACAATGCAGCCTCAATTCCAAGGAACGTGCGCTCACAAGATTCCACTGCCAGTAACATAATGATGAAGCTCTCTCTTCAAGCGCACACTTGGCAATGGGAAGGACCAATTTCCATGCTTGGTTCCTCCCTAATATATTATGGCCCATATGTTTCATTTGCCCCTGTCTTTCAGGCCATTTAGAGTGTTGCAACTGTGCATTTCAAGTCAGTAAATGAATCATAAACTGCGCTTCACATGAAAGGCCTCTTCTGATTATTTATTTACTTTGCTTGATTTCAGAAAATAATAAATTGAACTGATTTTTCTTGGCAAGACATATGATGCATTTATAGCACCTCACTGGTAACATTACTTATTACACAGTAAGCAACACAAACTCTTTTAACTTCATCAGCTGTAAACCATTCCTTTTCAGAAGAGTCCACTTACTGGATGTTTAGAGGTTTGGCATGAAAGCTGTTCAAACAGAAACAGCACTACTGCATGAGCATTGCTTGCAATTTCTCTTCATGTACTTCTTGCAACAAACCCCAAGTTGCCTTTCAAATTGATCAAGTTTTAAAAAGCACTTTGGTGTTTCAATGTGTAGCAACCTAGTGCTGAAGAAAACTATAAAAAATGAGACAACATTCATGAACTCCTATGGAATATCTTCGAACACTCCAACTCTCTCACTAATGTCTGGCCCTCTCTGAAGTACTTTTCATTCAGCTGTGTTTTCGTGTTTGAGAGTTCAAAAACCATAGCATATCACCACTTCTGCCTTGGAAAAAGCTCTCCAGGGTCATACTGGAAATGGTTTTCCTCCTCCTTTTGAAAACAGCAATGAAGCCCAATAGTAGCAATCGTAACAAACACCTGCTGAAGGTTGTACACATCAAGACAAGGTGAGACATTCTTCCCAGAAGCTATTTAAATTCAAAACATATCATCAAATTGGAACACTTCTGTTATCAGCCTACCACTAGTGGGTCATGTGAAATATGCAGATATATTAGGATAGTGATCATGCTAGCTATTATAAAATATTTGCATACTTAGCTCTGAAGTGACAGGGACTTGATATGGTGTTATTCTGCAACATGTTTACCACCACACAGCCTTTGCTCATCACCAAACTGCTGCCAAAGCTTCTTACTACTTTATTAAAAGAAAATCTACTTGTAGCACAACCTGGGACTCTAAAGAACAGACAGTAGCTATTAGCTCCTGATACAGCTTATTTTTATATTTTCCTCTGATTTATACAGTAACATTCTGAATAAGAATCAAGTAATAAGAGGTTATTACAAGACTTCTATAATATAATGTAGCACCTGGGATTAACCAATCTAGATTTGCTTATGTGCTAATAAACACACATAGATTGTTCAAATACTAAGGAAAGAAAGGATGACAGAAAGGTATGACATGAAACGACAGGTTACCCACCCGTAATTGTAGTTTTTTGAGTGAACCTCTGTGATTCACACCCTGGGTGATTTGCGCTGGTGGAGTGAACCACTCTAGGAGCTGGATGTCGAGCAACTTGATAAGCCAAAAGAATGGCTTCTCATTCATCTAGACCTGCTTATGTGCTAATCAACCCATCTGGAGATCGATTGGTAAGTCACCTGGCGGCCTTTTGTAGGTAGTTGATGCTTATGAAAAGACGAGGTGACTGTCTAAAAGGCTGAGTACATTGGAGATAAAAAGCAAGAGCTCTTCTGACATCCAACGTATGGAGTATTTTTTCTTGGTTTGAAGGTGGTGATGGGAAAAATGAAGGAAGGACAATCGGCTGGAAGAGATGAAATTGAGAGACAATTTTGGGAAATGTCCATGGGGGAAGGAAATGTCCATGAATAATTTCCTCTTATTGGGAAAAATTTGTAGATAAGGGTAGTCATAGCGTAAAGCTGCCAACGCACTAGCTCGTCGAGCTGATGTGATGGCTATGAGAAAAGCTGTTTTAAAGGTGAGGAATCTTAAGTCAGTTGTAACTAATGGCTCAAAAGGAGCTTTGGTAAGCTGTTTCAAAACAAGAGTTAGTGACCATTGTGTAGAGGGAGGTCAAGTATCAGGGTAGATATGAGAGAGATCTTTCAGAAAACATTTCGTTGTTGGATGTTTGAAGAAGTTTGCTGCTGGAGAATTTGGAGCTTGGTATGGTATTATTGCTGAAAGGTAGACTCTCAAGGATGAGATGAAGAGGCCCTTGGATTAGAGATGTAGGAGGAAGCGGAGAACAGTGGAATGTGATGGATTGATGGAGAATGATGAGGAAGATTTGGTACAGGATTGAAATTTCTTCCATTTGTACAGGTAGGCTTTCCTTGTGGATGGTTTTTTGGCATGATGAAGAATGTTCATTAAAGAGGGAGAATCCTCCATACTGCCAGGTGCAAAACGGGTAAGTCCGGGTGTAGGACTTGGGAGTTGTTCTGTGTGAGAAGGTGTGGCAGGCAGGGAGATGGTGGATTTCTGATGAGAGAACTGGGAACCAAGTTTGTCTCAGTCACCAAGGGGCTATAATGATGGCATCATTTTTGTCTTGTTGTAGATGGACAACAACTTTGAGGAGGAGAGGGAACAGCAGGAAAAGGTAGGTAAGAGTCTTGGGCCAACAGCTGACAAACACGTCTCTTTGGGAATGTTTTCCTATTCCTGCTCAGGAGCAATGCAGCTGGCATTTCCAATTCGCTCAGGAGGCAAAGAGATCGAGAGTCGGTGTGCCCCATTTCCAGCATAGGTGATTGATCTAGTTCCGATTCGTGAGCTTGGGCATCTGCACGGCTGAGCGAGTCTGCTAGGTCGTTGTCTTGATCAGTGATGTAAAAGGCTGTGAGACAGATGTGATGTTGCAGACACCACTCCCAGAGGTCAACCGCTAGATAGAGGAGACCTGGGGAGTGGGTGCCGCCTTATATTAGGACGGAGAACATCACCATGGTGTTGTTGACGGCAATGTGTACCATTTTTCCTACGAGAAGTTTTCTGAAAGCCTTGCAGGCCTTTATGACGGCTAGTAGCTCCAACTCATTTATGTGGAGCAGTTTTGCTCTGTGAGACATTTGGCATGGACTGTGAGGGATTTGCAATGAGCCCCCCAGCTGGTGCGACTGGCATCGGTAGTGACTTGTATTTGCGGGTGAGGTTGTTGGAACGGTTGCCCGACAGAAGAGTTGGTATAGGAATGCCACCATTGAAGTTGGGAGGCCAGTTCTGGAGTGACTCTTAGGAGAGTGTGGGGGGAGTCTGTAAGTTGAAATATGTAATTTTATGATTTTATATAAAGTGAATCGAACAGGGACAGAAACCAGGATTGGAGAGATCTCATTTTGAGACGCACATGCTGTACAATTGATGTCATAGAGGCCATGGTGCATAAAACTCATTGCACCATTAAGGCACGTATCAAGGCATGCAGAGTGAAGCTGTGAAGTAAGGTGAAGAGATTGTCTCTTTTCTGCAGGGAGGAACACACGAGCTTGTGTGGAGTCTCTGAGCGCGCCTATGTAATGAATAGTCCTTGTAGTTTTAATTTTGATTTCTCTTCATTGGTAGTTAGACCGAGATCACACAGAAAGGCGAGGGTGAAATGGGTGTCTCGTCAAGCTTTGAGACTGGAGTGTGCTACAAGGAGCCAGTCATCAATATATGGAAAGACGAGAATGTTTTGAAGTTTGAGGTAGGCGGCTACCGGCGTCATGCACTTGGTGAACACTCTCGGAGCTGTTGCAAGCCCAAATGGGAGTCTTTTGAAATGGTATGCTTGTGATCATAGTTAGACCGAGAAAGGCGAGGGTGAAATGGGTGTCTCATCAAGCTTTGAGACTGGAGTGTGCTACAAGGAGCCAGTCATCAATATATGGAAAGACGAGAATGTTTTGAAGTTTGAGGTAGGCGGCTACCGGCGTCATGCACTTGGTGAACACTCTCGGAGCTGTTGCAAGCCCAAATGGGAGTCTTTTGAAATGGTATGCTTGTGATCCAAGTGGGAAATGAAGGAATTTTCTGTGTGTGGGATGTATTGCAATATGAAAGTAAGCATCTCTTAGGTCTATGACAGTGAACCAGTCGTTTTTTCGAAGTAAGGGAAGAACTGATTCTAGAGTAACCATGTGGAATATTGTGGTGACAATGTAGTTGTTTAATAGTCTTAAACCTAGAATAGGGTGGAGACCCCATCTTTCTTGGGGACGGTGAAATAGCAAGAGAAAAACCTGGTGTTGTTTTGATAGATGGGTTGCATGGCATCATTGAGAAGTAAATTCATTATTTCTTCTTGCAGGGGTTGTGACGGAGAAGTAACGATGTGTGTTGTTGGAGGAAGTTCGAAGAAGTGGATGTGGTAGGCGTTTTTTATGATGGAGAATACCCAGGAATCTGTGGTGATGGATTCCCATGCAGATAAGTGTTTCCAGAGGGCAGGGTTGGTGGGGAGGGTGGCGATCTCGGTCAGAGGAACGTCAAACCTGGGGGTTGGGTTTCTGGTCATTCTGCCTAGTGGCAGGCCGTTGCCAGGTTTTGGCTCTTTGGTTTCTAAAGTACTGATTGCAAGAGGTTTGTCGTGGAGGGTCTCATTGGAACCTCTGGTACAAGTTATAGGGTCATTTCCCAAACATCGCTATGCGAAATTTCCCCATAGGAAACATTGCTAAATGGAGCGCAAAATTGCTCCAAAAACTTCATCGCTAAGTGAATACATCGTTAAACGAGGCAATCGCTAAGCGAGGCACCACTGTAGATGATCGGCTGGTTCTGTCAATGGTTGGTGGATTTACAAATCAAGGGATTTAGCCATGTTAATCATAAGTTGGGCATAGGTATGGAAATCTTCTGCCGG